TAGAGATCATGTTTTTATGATATGTAGGAATTGTTCTACAAATTGAACAAATTACATTCACTTTTTGTGTTAAAAAATTAAATAAATTTTTTGTAACAATAAAAACAAATTATTATATTGTTTTGTTCATTAAAATTGTTGTTATTCACCAAACGTGTTTTATTTGCATGATAAAATTTATTTTGTGTCATCATTATTTGTTGTTATCATCAGATTTAACCTTGGGGTAGAAATCTACCCCATTCGCCTTCAGTGGATGAAAAAAATCGCCGTCATCGCAGGGTTAACGTAAATTCATATATTAGTTCTTCTAATTTTAATATTCTGCATGTCAATAGTCGTAGTTTACTTAATAAGTTGACTGAACTTAATATATTTATTGATTTATGTGGTGTATTTAGTTTAGTGGCAATTTCTGAAACTTATCTGAAAGTTTACCTGATTATAAATTTGTATGCATGAATAGGCCTGATAACATTGGTGGTGGTGTTATTAGGGATGGTTTTAAATTTGTAGTTCGTGATGACTTATATTTTCATTCATCTGCTTTTGAATACTTGATTGTTGAAATTTTTGTTAACATTAAAACTAATTTCTTGATCATTGTATTATATCGTCCCCCTATAGTTTAGACCCTGTTTTATTTTTTGATGATCTTACTACCCTGTTTCTTAAAATTAATTCTAGTTCTTTTACTAACATTTATATTATTGGTGACTTTAATATTAATTCGCTTTCTGATGACTATAAGTATTCTTCAACTCAACTCGTAAATGTACTAGGATCTTTTGGTTTTTATTCATTAATTAAAGGGGCCACTCGTGTTACTACATCCAGTAAGTCTTTGATTGAAAACATTTTTACAAATAATATTTCTGAACATAAATCTGGTGTTATTTTATCATCACTTTCTGATCATTTTCCAATATTCACCTCATTTCATATTACTGATTTTAATCTGTCTAAACCTCCAACTGTTTATTTAAATTATTCTGCCCTTAATATTGCCAGACTTAACAATTATTTTCTAAAGTATGATTGGAGTTGTATTTTAAATTGTTTTAGTGTTGATATGGGTTTTGAATCGTTTTTAAGTATTATTAAAAATGCAATCCTAATGTTTTGTAAAGTTACAAATAAAAAATCATTTAAGAGAAAACCCTGGATTACCAAGAGTTTAGTTATTTCCTCTGCTAGGAAAAATTTGCTTTACAAGAATTTTTTAATCTCTCAATCTTTATCTGATAAACTAACCTATGCTAAATATAAAAATATATTCATTAAGTTATGTAAATTGTCTGAAAATATATATTTTAATAATCAATTTGTTAACTGTAAGTCCAATAGCAGGCGTACTGGAGTTATG